GTGTGCCACTATGGTAGAGCCTGGATCGCCGATGGGGACTTGATGACAAATAGGGGGACTACGGACCGCCATTATTTAATGTTCCGTCTGAGATATTTGCCACTTTATATTTGCTTAATAGTACCGTGTATTCTAAATCAGCTGTTAGTGGTTACCTACTTGGAAGGCGGATCGGGAGTGGGGAGTCTATTCCGCTGTTGACATATACCTTGTGAACATTTTCCTCAATTAATTTACAATACATCATGGAAATTAATTTTTCTTTTCACCCAGGACAGTTTTTTTTTCTCATAAAATCATCTATCCCATCCCCGATTGTTAAAATGAAGATCCATTTCTACTTATTTCGTGACACCCAGTAAACAGCCTGAGTACTCAATATACTCGTGCGGTGCTGCATGCAAGCACTACGCCATGACCCTCTCACTTCCATTATTACAGTTTGTCACCTTCCACAAAAAATAGATCTGTTATAAAAATCTGCGTATTTAAAATGTAAGTCATTGATCAAGATATGTTGAAAATATTACGCCTTGTAGTATTTGGTTCAAAATAAACATTAACAGAATTTTATGGACATTGGCAGGAAAATGGTTGTGAAATGATGGTTACATATAATCGCCAATATATACATTCCCCGTTCCCCGCACTCGCACGTTTTTGTTACGTTTGATTGAATCGCGTGGGTGGAAAGAACTATGGGGGTAATTTGTGATTTACGCTCGTTACCAGATTTACGACCAGAAAGTCGGACCACATCGGCTGTGAGTCGGATTTTTGGAAGAATTGCACCACAATCGCTTGAAACACACAGATAAACGACATCATTTGTACTAAAACATCGGGTTATTGCCCAACACGACCACCCGAACCCACCCGTGTGTCAATTCCCCAGATTCATCATCATTGGCTTTCGAAGTAAATGCAATGCAATAATTCCTACTTTACTTTTGCTCAGAATGCTCAGTAGGTTTTATGTTGTTTGTGTCAAGTTTAGGGAATTATTTTTCGCATAATCAGTACTAGTTCGTGTTGTTTGATGATAAAAAACTATTGATTTTTGCATCATAATACCGTGACTTTTCTTAGTACCGGGTTTCTTCTAGTAACAGTAGTTACTCGATGGTAACTCGATGCATGATCGCGCCATACGACACATGACATTTGACCCCTTTGTAGGTTGTTCAAAATTAACATATTCAAATTTACCTGCTCACGCCACATAGATTTCCATACAGTGCGGGTCAACAAACTTTCTGGTTATGACTGTCGGTTATGCAGGTAGTTCGTTGAACTACGGTTAGTAACCGTGGTTGAACCACTCGCATTCAACAGACCAAGCTGACTTAGGAATGGTCCAATTTGGAGCGCGCGGTTGGAAATCGTAGGGTACAGGAAAAAATAGCTGAATCATCTGACCATTTTGGAGGAACGTGACTGATTCGGCCCGAGAATCCCGTTCAAAATTAACAGCTTTTCAAATTGTGTTATTTTAGAAGTAGGGTACAGTAATACAATCCCAGTCCCCTGAAATAAAATGGTTCCGCCCAAGCGAGTTCCGGCAGTAAGTTGAAAAGCAAACCATTTGCCATTGAAACACACTATTTATTTCTGTATTTTATTTTTTTTATTGTTTATGAGTAATAAAAAAAATTGTATTTCTAGTATGATTATTTACAACGTCAATATTTTTAATAAAACAAACATTGATGCAACTTGATTATTCAATAAATACCGGTAATGAGAATAATTGAATTTCCATGGATTGTATATTAAAAAAAATCCCAAATAATATGTATGGAGTGCGCACACCTAATAGTCCCATGCCATTAATTAAACAATACATTCACCTTATGCATGGAACTATCCATGCCTTATGTAAAATACGCAATTTTAGTTAATTAAATTTTAATTACATAACAACAATCACACCGTTTTGTTCTGGGACAACTTTATGTTATCACTTGGCGTGTTGCCGTACATACATCATCGCGCACAGTGCGATCAAGGCAACGTTATCGTGTGCCCTGGCTACTAGGATCCCAATACGTGCATCCGTTCAGTTTCTGCCTGTCCGAGTCTGATTCATCGATTTTGTCTAGAGCCGAAACGAAACATTCAAAAATGAAAACAAAATTGGGTATGATGCTTTCGGTATTTATTGTCGGAGAAATACAGGTTTGGAGAGAATTTAAGTTAATTTCGGTCTACAGAAAAATAGATAAAGTAATCAATGTATCATAAAGTGACCTTTAGTCCTGGGTTCGATTTTAACATGTGGTGACAATCTTTGAAAAATCATGAGTCAGCAAAATCTTACAAAGCTGTAACATGTATGCGTAGTACAAATAGTTAATAAGAAAAACAAGTTTTTAGAAGAAATACAACATGCCTACGTATGACCTTTAAATGTCACATATCTGGGTTTTTCCCATTAAAATCGTACCTCAGTTTCTGTTTTTGAACTTCAGTGAACAGTGCTTGCATTGTTTTGTAAATATAATCAGAAATTCTTATAATGAATTTGCACCCCCAGAAAATACTAGGATACCTATGTCACCTTTTTGGGGTCGTGTATATGGCCTATTGATGCATGTAAACATAATATAAGTAAAAATAAGTTATTGTTCAGTGGTGCCGCACCCACTAACTAGCACTGTACTATCACACTGGATTGCGACCACTGAGGGACATTGAAGTTCAAGTCGTCTAAGCATTCATTGCTACGTTAAAACATGGTTACTTCTAGTAATCGTGGTTAAAACGATGCTAATTTTGAAGAGAAATGTCAAGACAAATTGTAATTTTATACAGATTGATATTAAAATTCGCTCTTATGAAACAGTTCGATACAAAAATGTTCATGGTAAACAAAGTTCATCACTGAGAACGAGACAACAAATATACCTTTCCCTTAAAGGGCGGTAGTCGTCGCGCCACGCATGCGCGGGATATATGGTCTCATATCAACAAACATGGCGACTTTGACTGTTGCGCAGATCAATGAGTAAGAACTCAGACATTACCAAGCTTTAATTGGGTATTTGGAAGTATCGAAGGAGTCAAGGGCGGTAATTAGAGCAAGTCGCGCCCAGATCGAACCTCTACTTGTGATTTCCATTAGAAGAGCGCATTGGATTTTGGGAAAATCAAGGTTTACCATCACAAGTGTCGCACATGCCCAGCGCGACGACTACCGCACTTTAATCTATGCTTCGGCCGGGATGACCAGTACAATGCCATGCAGACCTGAAAAAAAACACGTACATGTTTCCATATGTACAACACGAATACAGACAATGTAGCCCTACCAAGTTGTATCTATACACCTTGCATCGTATTACTGTGGATGAAAGTGAATCCCAACTTGCGAGTCAATGCGAAGCTACTTACAAGAGTGTATCTGATTGGCTAACTCGACCCTAATACCTAAACAGTCAGACCAATCAGAGAGCAGCTTGTTATACGTGTATGCTTCGACGGCTATTTCTATATCTATCTACGGGTATCCGTTGCTGAGACTTGCGAATTATTTACACGACTGTGAGACAGATTGCACTGAAATGACCCAGGCACGTACATTTGACCTCGAACGGTCATTCACATTATAGTTCACTCGCATAGACAGTTGACGGCCATGACATACTTCAAAGTCAGGTGACTCGCCCAATCAGTGTGCACATATGTAAGCACATGACTCACCCAGACTCCATCATTTCGTTTACTACGAAATTATTCCCTGTTAATTCAAAAGAAAAGAATGAATCAAAACAATTGAAGGGAGTAACAATAGAAGCTTTTTATACATATATATTACACAACTGTGGTTTTTCAAACCCAGCGAAATATGCTCGAAATACCCCATAACATTAAAATTATCGTCGATTTATCGGGCACATTCACTACGTACTAGCAAACGTTCACGGGTGTTTACGGACACTATAAGCAGTCTTGGGTTCAAAACTCAACGGGGGCAGTCTTTAAGTTCAGAGACAATCAACGTTTCGAATGGAATATCTAACTTGTATTTCAAACAGTTTTATAAACTCTTGGAGATTGTAGGACATTTGTAATTGTTTCACTTAGTTTTAGCTAACTTATTACCAGATTGACCATGTTATTGTTTAGGTTTTCATTTATTCATATATTCTCTTCTGTCATTATTATAGGACCCCTTATTTCTGCTATGGTCAACATCTTGTACATTTGTTTTCTGTCTTCGTTCTTGTCGAATTGATTCTAATGTTTTATCAACCACTATGCCGAACAGGCAAATCCCAATTTAGGCATTATTTAATAAATGACTCCTGCTGACTAACATCTACTTGTACCTAGATATCTGGTCATCACGAAAAGATGGGTAAACTATTCACATGCATTCGGCCGAGTGACTTATTAATTCCCTTTCAAGGTTTCGATTTTAAACACCAGCAAAACCAAATTTTCTAAATTTTGAGTACTTCGCCGATTGGCCGTTAAACTGATAACATTTTTAATATCAAATGTGCGTCTGATTTTGCTCAATAAATGAGACAAATCACTTATTGAACCAGAGTAAGGGTAAACAATTAAAAAAAATCACACATAACTTTCGTGTTCATTTTTTCCCCTCAGTACTATTAACTGAAAACAATCGTGTGTAATAAACTAACACCAAATCCTATGGCATCGAGAAGTAATCAAGGATTCAGAATAAATTGAATTCGCAAGTTGCTATATTCATTTGCCCTCGTTTCAATATACATACACCTGTGACACAAGTTACTAGAGATCAACATCTCCTTACCTTCGTGGAGTCTACACTCAACAAAACAGCTGGACTGCGATCGTCGGGAAACTGTAGCCGCGGGTATACTATCCCGGAAAAAGACCATAGCTACAATTACAATGTATTGTTAAACGGGGTGGGGTGGAGGTGGGTGGTGGGGGTAGGTCGTACAGCAGTATAATGTCAGAACTCCGGTTATATGTACACTCATTACAATACAAGACGAGCAGAATTAATTCATAGAAATAGCTTTTAATAGTCATTGTTTTCTTTCCTTAGAAAAATAACTCTGTATATACAAGTTCTGAGCACGTTTCAACGACAATTCTTCGATCCTCTGAAAACAACAAACATCCGTATATAGCAAATACAAATAAAAGTAAATTCAATTAGGTTTTGATTGAAAATCAAGCAACATATTCAAGGAGATGCATTGGCTTTTTATAGCACTGAGTACAAGGGTAGAGTTGAACAATTTCGAGGCATTTTTAAACTGGATACAGAAATAGAGAGTTAACAAAAATACAAAACGAAATAACTAAACAAAACGCCGGGTCGGGTTTATAAAAAATGGTCGGTGGTCTGGTGTAGTCATTCATCACCAGAGGCCATAGGGTATGAAGCAATTGCCATATAATCACGAAAAATAATTCGGAGTCGGTCAATACAAACAATTCCCTGCATAGAAGTAGTTTGAGGAAACTATCACAAAACTACAAGTTGATGAACAATAGGTTTTGATTAAATTAACATGCCAACATCGTCACTATTATTGACTACCATGAATGGGTCATGATTTCAGTACAAGTTCAATGCATCTAAGGATCACCCTATTTGAATACTTCGGGTGGGAAGGGGTGGAAGATTGTGTAGTTTGTGGAACCAAACAAAAATAGACAGCTGACAGAGAAATGGTGGGAGTGAATAAACAATATATATAACAAAAAAAGATTCGGGGAGCTCCAACTCGCACAGATTTTGAATGGAGAAACCCTTAAATTAGTTACTTTGTAGTAGGCAGATATAATTATTCACACAATTAATTTAAATCATTAGTGTTGGTGATTGTATCACTCTTTTCCCCCATTTAAGAGCGAGAGGCAGTGTAAACTATATCAAATTTGACGATTTGCGTACAATATACAAATATCTCAAATATTACACAACTGTGTGATTCCAAAATAATCGCCAACAATTTCTGCCTTGATAACAACTAGATAAATCTTGAGTATTTCAAAAAGGCAAGTGTGCGCGCAGTGCGACCTTGTAAACCCGGACACTGGGAACAAGTCGAGTGCTAAATCTACCCGTGCCAGTGTACCGGATGAGAAAATACCATTCAAATAATTACTTGTGCGATGATACAATTGTTTCGTCATAAAATGGAATGTTATTTCCCGAGATTCGCCCTTTCGTCACAAATCATTAATACTCAACCACATACAGGGAGTTTTTTTTTTTTTTTTTAAATATACAGTCATGGCAACAACATGCACCAACAAATCTCGGGTAAACAAAAATAAGGTACTCTCATTGTAACAAAAGACTAGGATGACGAAATAAAGGCCTTTGTGGGAGTGGCATTCCAATGATTTTGCCTTCAAGTAAATTTCAACTAACCATAACGATAGTCAAGGCCAGTTTACTCGTGCGTGGTTTCCCTAATGAAGCTGGTAATAATTATAAGTTCTACACACAGTAATTCAACTGAAACCTTGTGTATTGGTTGTTAGTACGTCCATGGTTAGTCTGACTATGGAATATCATAGGCACTGTAGTAGAATAAATCATGGCGGTACAGTACGAAAATGATTAGAAACATCGCTTATTGTTCACACCAGTCACAGTATACCGCACTGCTGTTCAAACATTAGGTACTCTTTGGAAGTACCACGCTTACGAGATTTAAATTTTTTGCTTGTAACAATTTTGGGAGTGAGGTTATTATTGTTCTCCCAGAGTCGTTTACATTGTAAATGGTTTTGGTCTTGGACATGTTTGGAAATCTCCGGTCTCTTGTTGGTACTTTGTGGTCAGGAATTGGGCAACTTCTGTTAGCTGATGCAGAACATTGCACAATCCTCCCAGATGTTCCCGAAATAGAATGGCAGACTGTGTTGCTTTGGCATTCGGAGCGTCCTCTTCTTCAGAGCTTTCAGAATCCTCGTCGGTTACAGACGCTCCTCGGATAAGGTCTTTCTTAATGGTCTTGAGCAAACTGAAATAGGTATATAGGTCCCGGTTTTCCACGTTGCTATTGTCTTTGACTACCACACGATTTTCATTGCTGTCCTCAGAGTTCGTTTTTTCGTGATCGTCCATATTCATGTCAAGCAAACGACTGGGTATCATGACGGTAGAATTCATATCGTCCA